GTGTGTGTGTGTGTGTGTGTGTGTGTGTGTGTGTGTGTGTGTGTGTGCGTGTGTGTGAGAGAGAGAGCGCATGCGTTGCAAGTATATATTTATGTATGTATATAGCCATGTATTGTGTGTTTGGGTATATATACACTTTGTCTTGGGAGCAGGCAACAGAATTTCATTTTGAAGTTGGGCCGGTGTGCTCGCAAAAAAAAACAAAAAAGAACAATAAACTTGTCTTCTGGGACTTTATCTTCCGCCTTCGGCGATCCCGAAGACGTTCCTCAGGCCACTCGCTTCTCCCTCCCCCCACCCCACCTCCCTGCGGCCACGACTCTGGCAGCCGGTTCGCCAACTCGAAACGCGCCCGAAGGTGCTGAAGGAAGAGCCGCAGCGCCCGCCTCCCTTTCTTTTTCTCACGCCTCGGGACCCGCGGCAGGCCGGGCCCTCCCGCCTCAAGTCAAGCCCAGGCGTTTCTAGCGCGCTCCCCCCGCCCCTTCCTTACCTTCTTCGACAGCTGCTTTGCTCTGCGGAATAAGGCAAGAGGCGAGAACCACCGTCAGGAGCAGCGACCAAGCCAGGGTATCCCACAAGTAGCGCTGGCGGCTGTAACGGTTCATGTCGGCAAACGGTGGAGAAAACTAAGGCTACCCCTCCCCCTCCCAGAAGAGCGTCGTGCGTTCCAGGTGGCCCTTTAACGCCCGTCTCGCGCCCAACGGCTCCCCTTCCCGGACCGTATTGCCCTCTGCAATCACGTCAGGCGGCCGTTGAACGGACGACGGAACGAGGAGACCAAGGGCGGCGGCCTCGCTTACACCTTCCAGCGTGAAACAGTTTTCAAACACTCCTCCCCTTCCCCCCCCCTCCCCATTTTATTGCGTTGGATCGGCCCCTCCCACGGCTGAATAGGTACGTTCTCGTCACGTGACCGACGCTTAGCCCGGGATTCGAGGGTGGGAAGCGCTGCGGCCGCTCTAGGCCCGCACGTTAGAGTCCCTTCTCTCATAGATCTGGAGACGCAATCGGCGAGGGAGTGATGTCATGCGATGATCTGCAGCCGCAAAGTTGGCAAGTGTGGATTTTCGGGTCTGGGTTGGTACTTCCATAGCACTTTTTTTTTTTCTTAAAACCGTGGCGATCAAATGTATTTTTTTAAAAAAAAGGAAAAAAAAGTTTTTGGATATGCGCGAAAATTGTTTTTGGAATTTAGGACTCGCAACCCACCCTGCATATAGATATGACTTGGAAGATAAATTGTCGGTCAAAATGAACATAATCTCCCACCAGAGACGTTCGGGCATCTTTGGTCCTTCTTTGGCGTCTAATAAATTACATTTTATTTCTCACTCTTCCAAAAATTCGGTATTACTATACACAAAATGAAACAGTACAGGTAGTCTTTGGCTTGCAACAGTTCATTTAGTGACCATGCAAAGTTACAACGGTGCTGAAAAAAAGGGACTTATGACCATTTGTCTGAGTTACAACCTTTGTAGCATCCCCATGATCATGTGATCAAGTTGCCAGATGCTTGGCAACTGGTTCATTCTTATGACCATTACTGTGTTCCAAGGCAAACTTTTGCAGCCTTTTGGCATGCAAAGTCAATGGGGAAGCCAGATTCACTTAACAACTAGGTTACTAACTTAGCAACTGCGGTGATTCACTTAACAACTGTAGCAAGAAAGGTCATGAAATGGGGAAAAACTTACTTAACAAATGTTTCACTTAACAAAAGAAATTTTGGGCTTAAATAATAAATGAAATACCGGAAGTGCCCGTTGTCAGCTACCGGAAGGCCTTTGGAGCTCAGGGGAGGCCGTTATTGCCCTCCTGGAGGCTCAAGGGAAGCCTCTGCAGCCTCAGGAGGCTGAAAAATGGGCCTTCTGGAAATACTGGAAGTGCCAAAATGGGCCTCCCAGGGCCTCCCTCAAGCCTCCAGGAGGGCAAAAACAACCAACCCCTGGGCTCCAGAGGCCCTCCGGAGGCTGAAAACGGGCATGTCTGGTATTTCCAGAAGGCCCATTTTTTTGGCCTCCTGAGTGCAGAGTCTTCCTTCAAGCCTCTGGGTGGGCGAAAACTGCCTCAAATGGGCCAAAAATCAGCTGGGAGCTGTGTGCATGTGCAATGCAGATAAGGGGGTGGGGGTGTTGCACATGCATGCGTGGGGGAAAGGGGCGCATTGCATTGTGGGTGCCAGCACATGTGCATGTGCGCTATCGTGCACACGCACGCTTTTGGCACACCACAATGAAAAGATACAGATTAACAGAGTTGGAAGGGACCTTGTAGGTCATCTAGTCCAATCCCCCACCCAAGCAGGAGACCCTGCATGATTGTTCTGACCAAGGCATCATAGACCGTAAGTACGCACATGCTTATTTTAAAAACAAGACTTATTTTATTGCAACGTTGGGAATTGTTTTTATAGTTTCTTTTTCACATGACTTTGGAAAGGAAAAGGACAATAAGTGCTTTTATTTTGTAAAAATTTAAAAGTTATTTTTATTTGTCAACTTTTTTAGTTGCTACAAGTCATACAATCAGAACAGAGCTATACTCTACAATAAAACTAAATTAACATCTACAATATACAGTAATCATGGCTGAAAAACATTACAATTAATAATTCTACATTGTAGTTTTGGTCTCTCATTGAATGTCTCTGTTAGTTCCAGTTCCTGGAGAACTTGTGAGCCCTCGATTATCTGCCTAGAGTAATAATGAAAAAAGAAATCCAAGTAAATCCTTGGAATTTATGGCAGTTGGATTGGTATTAAGCCATAGTTTAAGAGTACCATTTGGTGGTTTATTTATTTATTTGATATCTATGGCCGACCATCTTAAAATACAACTCTGGGCTGCTCTTAAGAGTCATAAAACTATAAACCATATAATCAGGAAAGCAAAACTAAAATGAAAAAGAAACCCCTGGCACCTAGCCATCTTCTAGGATTCCCCAATAGTCACTGCCCCAATGCTTGGGAAAACAGAGAGGTCTTAAAGACCTTCCAGGAGGCTAAAAAAATGGGTTGCCAGATTGTTGGGAGGATGGTGTTCCAAAAGGTAGAATAATGCAGCTATCTCACTTCAATGAATCTTCTCACTAATACTGTTTTGAGTTCCATGATAGAAGAAAAGCAGGAGAGAGAGACATAAAAAAGAAATGTTCCCATTTCAGTTATTTATACTTGGGATACCCAGAATGACATTTTACACATACCCAAAAGCCACATATTTGGTATTCAGATACGGTGCAGGTTGTAACGTGATGTAGAATTGGGATCCGTTGGTGTGACGTCCTTTGTTGACCATTCCAAGAACCCCTCTCTTATCATGGGGAACTGCAAAACTTTCATCTAAAAACAGTACAATAAGCAGTATATAGCTGTGTATGTGTGGATATACCTACATATAAACATACAAATATCAAGGTTGATGAAATTGTCTTTATTTCCATTGAATTAATTTGCCTCTGTGCGCTACTGCACAAGTTAAAAAGTCTTGATTAGTCAATCCAGAGGTCATTTTCTAAGTCTTTTCAGCTCGTGGAAAAGAGGCTGGGAGGCTGTTGCTTCCCTTTAATTGCCCTCTTTCCCTGGTCCTTGATCACAATCAGCACCATAATACATAGTCCCACTTGTTTCTGTGTATGGTTTTACTCTCCCATTGGAGTGGAGTTGGAGTGTGTGTAGAAATACCTTGTTTTTGCAGTGAATTCTTGATTATGGACACCATAAGGAGCAGTTTACCTCTCAGGTGACGTGGATCAAATAATTTGATTTATGGGGAGTTGTTTGGCCCTAAACAGACCTGCTTGGGACTGAAACCAGGTTTCTCTTTGTTCTCTCCCTGGCTCCCTGCAAATAAGGCTATAGTATAAGCACAGCTCTCTATGGCCCGTTAATTTACTTTTTCCAGTGTTATATTGGCTTGTCCACTTGCCTTAGTTAATTGTAATATCTATAAATCAACCAGAAAAAAGTATTGATCATTCCCAGTTTTAGACAGAAAGATTAGGAATACCTACTATGTACAATTCACAAATCTACCTCAAAATGAAGCTCCTCACTATTCCATACCATGACAATGAGTTGCTCTGTGGTTCCTAGGAATAGTTTATTGATCTCCATGCTTATCAATCTCTTTTATAGCTTCACTTCTCCTGGGGTTGATGGCCAAAAATTAAACACCTTGCGAATAATCGAAAATTTAAAATATATAAATTCTAAACTGTTTTTTAATCTCTTCAGCTCAAACCTTTTATAAGGAAGTGAAAATGGAAAGTAATGTGGCATTTGCATTACACTGACTAAAGTAAGAGCTTCAGTATTTCCTTTACTCTATTTTACACTATTTCAATTCTGTTTTCTCTTAGATTATTTTTTACATTTGGAATATAATCATTACCGATGATATTTGTGAAGCCTACTATTTATGTAGGACCAGCATAGTTTAAGAAAATACTTCTACCTTCAAACACGGGTCCATATATCGATTCACCCCCATTTCCTTTTCCACCATCAATATCTATGTACATTATGAAAAAAAAATACATTATCTTTCTATATAAGAATTTTAAATGACACCATCATATATAATATTATAATTTGTAATTTCTCTCTTTAAGCAAAATTAGGAAAAATATCAGAAAAAGAAAAAGGAAAACCACAAAATTAAATATAAATGAATATTTTACAGATTATCTGTGGCTGATTATAATGGTTCTCTTTCACTGAAATGGCTGTCTAGAACAGGCTTGTCCAACCCGCGGCCCAGGGGCCGCATGCGGCCCAGGTCGCCTCGTAATGCGGCCCAGTGCCCACCTCAACCTTCGTGCCAGAGCCAGTGAGGAGGAGGAGGAGAGGCAGGCGCGAGGCAGGGCGAGGCGAGCGCCAGGCCAAGCAGCAACAGAAAAGGCGGGCGCCGTCAGAGCGCCACCTCCTGCTGTTGCTGCCGCCGCTTCTGCCCCCGCCACTGCTGCTGCTTCTGCCTTCCAGTCCTGCCTCATCCAGCCGGGCCATTTGCAAGAGGAGAGGTAGGCACGAGGCGGGCAAGCTTTCTCCCCCCCCCCCACAAAATTTGGCCAGAAAATAAACCGTGATAAAAAAACCGTGATAAAAAATAAATAATTTTTAATAAATAATAAAAACATCTCACTAACTTCATTTCCAAATAAATTTAATATGTTAACTATGTTTTCTACGGTTTTTTTGGATGATCAGGTATCGTTACTGTTATTTTATTTTATGTGCGGCCCAAACCAAATTTTCATCTTCTAATGTGGCCCAGGGAAGGTGAAAGGTTGGACACCCCTGGTCTAGAACTTCACATACATATCCATGCTTGAGAAGCCCTTATCTATTTCATGACACTGGGAAGAGTGCTATATTAGTTTAATGGTTATTATTAACAGGTCCTGCAATATAGAGAACTGATAATATCACAGTTGTTGCTGAAATATATCTCTTGTCATCCAGGATTGGTCATGTTTGCTTGGTTCCTGGGAAGCATAATTCAGCAGCACTTGCAGGATCACAAGTTCCCATATTTTGTTGTAACAGAAAGCCCAATGCATCTTTATGTCAAATACATTATGACTATTCTATGTTTAGGCTTGCTTCCACCCGAATAAAAGGCTTCCGTCCAGATAAATTTATATAAAATTTAAATGTTGTGTAAAAATTCCTCCATGTTTTATTTTTCCTCCATGCTTTTTTATATACCGACATGTGATTATCTAAAAGTATAACTCTTATTTAAAGGTTTAGTTTTATTCTGGTGATGGGGAGGAGGAAGAACACTCTCATATGCTGGGTAGTGTACCAAACCTATAAACAGATTTCAGTACATACCTCCTCCTTGTATCCAGCCATTTTTTACAATTCGATGAAAAATTGAATCCTTGTAAGTGAGTGTCAATCCAGACTCAGAGTACCCCTTTTCTCCTGTACATAAACACTTGAAATTATGGCATGTTCTGGGGCAGATATCAGAATAGAGCTGGACAATAGAAGGAGAATATGGAACATTTCAGAAGCTCAGTTCCTGAGGTCAGTGGGAAAAGAAACATTACATTAATTTATGAGATGAATGGATCACAATTAATTCTGTATATTCCAGGAATTTTATCAAAGATTGTGATATCATTTTAAAATGAATGTTTTATCCTCAAGAGAAAAGACAATTCATTTTAAAATGGGAACAAAGAGTCACGACTCAGAAATTGAGGTCTTGAGCATATCCTTCTACTGTTATCTGTTATTTTAGGGTGACATAGACTTACTTTTCTGCCTCAGTCCAATTGCTCAATATTATTTCACCCATCTCAGCCTGCCAATAAAGCAATACAACGAACAGCCCTTGGCAATGGTGTTGGCTCTGTTTTAGAACACCTGTCCTTTGCCAAGGGGCTCTCCTGGCAATTATTCAACTACGTTTCAGGAGGAAACTAATTTTCTTCTAAAGAACTTTTAGTTTAAGTTTTAAGAAAGGGAATGGAATTTTCCAACTTATTCATTTTAGTATTTCCATATTTTAATAGAATGTTCACAGGGACATAATGCAGAAATTAAATATGTGTACACACACACACACACCAAGGGGTGGGGAGGGAGAGGGCTGGAGGGAGAGAGAGATGCTGAATATGTTTAAAGAGAAACAAAAAGGTTTGAGGAGAATTGATAGTAAGAGTCTATTGGATTGCAACTTTAATAAATCTTTTACATTTTAAACATATATTTCATGAAATAAGCATAAGCTTGCATTTGAAATTTTTTAAAATTAAATTATATAAATTTTATATTCTGAGGAGGCATTGGATCAACTTTAAAAGTCATTCCTTTAGCTTTGTTACACATATGCCTATGCATACATATATAAGGGATTAAACCTTCTAAGGTGACTCTTTTCATGGGAAAATTTAAGTACTTATATAAAAATTGATTTCAAAAAATCTGTACCATTTACACCCATCCTAAGAAAATATTTTGAAATAAAATGGACTGATCAAATCAACATTTCACCAAGGAACCCACATATTTTAGCCTCAAGAGACCAGAAATGTTGTACACACTATTGCATTGTCACCCAAATAATTCTGATGAGCTCTCCAACTTCCATCCATGTTCCAATGTGTAGTTGATCTCACATCAGGAATTGGACCTTTAAGTAATTGGAGTGTTTAAGTAACAGTTTTGAACATAACTGTAATTGCTTCCATGTACATGATAAAAGCAAGGATTGTTTGTCTTTTCCTTGGGCAACTTACCTCAAAGAGCAATTTTCCCATCGAAACTTCATGAATTGCTATTTCCATGAAAACAAACATACGCTGCCAAGATAAAGAAACCAAACCCTATGGTTAAAGTAGAACTGAGTGAGTGAATCACTGGATAAAGATTGCTCCCTTCTGACTCTTAGTCATGCTTTAGAAGGTCAAATTCCAGTAAGTAGTGAATTTCATCAGCATTTCCCAATATTTTATTGTTAAGAAGACTTGATCAGTAATCATCAACTAAACTTTCAAAGAACTCAGACATCATATGGATGAGTCTGGAAAGCATTCCAGGGTACATGTTGACAGCAGAGGTATCAAACTTGTGTCGTCACAGCATCATGTGACATATCAGGACGTTTTTCCCCTTCGCTAAACCGGGTGCGGGTGGGGCCCACACCTGATGCATAAGGGCCCATGAGCCGCGAGTTTAACACCCCTGATGTAGAACAATCCAATGCAGAGGTGGTATTCAGCAGGTTCTGACTGGTTCTGGAGAACCGGTAACAGAAATTTTGAGTACAGAGAACCGGCAAATACCACTTTTGACTGGAGATTTTACAGTATCCTTCCCCTGCCACACCCACCAAGCCGTTCACAGTAGTTCACAGAACTGGTAAAAAAAATTTGAATCCCACCACTGATCCAATATATCTGTGAAATTTAAGCAAGGAGAAGAGATTTGCATTAGGTGGGCAAGCTGTGTTTTAAGGGTTGAATTAATTCCTGGTCATCCCCAAGTTTTCCACTTCTCCACTGTTACTGAACCTCTACTGGGAAGGGTGTGCCAAAGCTTCATAAAGAGTTTTATGAAGGCACTACATGGAACTCAGTGAAGTAAATGAATAGCTTTGGATAGGGAGGGAGGTGGCGTATAAGTTTAGTAATAAACAAATAAAAATAAAATGAATGGAATGGAATGAAAGTCACCACATAAACCAGGCTATTGAAAGCACATCTGTCAAGGAACAGCTTGTCCGGCTACAGTTGAAACTGTCTGAAGTTAACAGCGGTGTTTTTTTTTTAAAAAAGTATGTATTAATGTAAATTAGAGAAAATGATACTGAAAATATCCTGCTCCTTTTTGAATGATTAGAATAAAATTATTTCCAGCTTCATTATGCCACTTCTATTTTAGCAGGCATTAAGCCTGAGATCAAAACAGTTTTTACAAGATAAACTGTGAACTTTCACAGTGAGTAATTGCCTGTGTTCCACAATGCATTCTTGAGATGGTGGGAGGAGACTTTTTTGTGAGTTTTCGGGATCATTTTGTTCCCAAAATGGACTGAATGTAGTCCATTCAAAAAGCCTCTTATGGCAGGGCTGCCAAACTCCTGGCCCATGGGCCGGATGCATCACACACTGGCCATGGCTACGCCCGGTTTAACAAATGGGGAAAAAGTCCGGATATGTCACGTGATGCTACTATGACGACGTGACTTTGACACCCTTGTCTTATGGTAAAGGGCCAAACATTTATTTTCCATCCCAGATTTGAGTTGCACCAAAACTACCATATCATGGACATTGTCAATTTTTGCATCAGACTCAGCAGGAACTCACACAGCGTTCTGGACATTTCACCTATATTAAAGCACTTGGCTTAATTTGACAGAAAACTCTCAGATGTGGCATGGCTACATTAGTATCTTTTCGCCAGTTAAGAGTGAAGCCCTACACTAAATCATTTGTTTACTCACAGCCATGCAAAGAATTCATAGCCTTTAGGTGCAGCTTTGTTCCAACGTACAGGCTTTTTCTCCCTGCTCTTCTGAATTCATGATATTGGCCAATCTCATATGGCCTTGAAAGGCAGCTGAAAGATGTTCATGGGACAATTGCTATTTGCCTTGGAATTACTGGTTCCTGCCAAGCTCAGCCCTTACAAGCATTTAGACTGTGCTCTGGACCTCAGCTGCCTGTTTTTAACCACTTACTCATTCACTGACAATTTTTTCAACTGGCATGTTGCAATTTTTTTCAACTGGCATGTTGCATATTTTGTAAAAAAATATATGGAAAACTAACTAGCAAATAAGTATTACTGGCTTGAGTCATGCAGTCAGTGATGGCTCTGGAGTTACAAGCTGGCTTATCGTGGCTCCAGCATCACTGACAATGAAATATACTATGGCCCAGTGGTGGGATTCAATTATTTTTTACTAATGTGGGTGTGGCTTGCTGGGCGTGGCAGGGGAAGGTTACTGCAAAATCCCATTCCCTCCCATCCCACTAACCTGCTTTCCAGCTCCGTTCTCCTGTGCAGAGCAACAAAAGAAGACCCAGCCGATCAGCTAGCACTCGGGAGGCAGAGAATGGATGGGGGTGGGGCCAATCAGAGGTGGTATTTGCTCCAAACTAATCAAAATTTCTGCTACCAGTTCTCCAGTATTGGTCAGAACCTGCTGAATACCACCTCTGTTATGGCCTCCCACATAGATGCATTAAATGTTTCAATTTAAAAAGCATGCTGATATATCCGTGCTTGGCCTGGAAATGTCAGTAACAATCCGTTTTAGTTTATTTGTGAGGATTGTTTGGGCTTTCCTGAAGGATGGGATTTTGGACAGCTATAAATCTGTCAGAAGCTATTATTGGTGTTTATTTGTAAAGCTTGATATGAAGAGAGGGATTTAAATCTACAGTTGTAAGGTTAGTATTTTGTAAGGTTTATGTGATTTAAATGCCACAAAAATGATGACTACGGCAACCTAAAAATGGGATAAAATTTATTAATTTAAATTCTCCTGGTTACTCTTAATTTTCTAAAGCCTTTTCTAAGTAAACTTTATAAAATTAAACAAATGAATTACATGGAGTTTTATGCAAACTCCAGATATTGTATAGCCATCAGTGAGACTTCTAAAAACCCAAATATCACCTGTTTGGCTTTTAAGTATTTTGTGAGGAAATCTGATGTAATTGCTTCATAAAGTGCTGTGGGCTTAAAGTCTTTATAATCCCAAACATCATAAGCCCACTTCAGCAGCATTTTTTCATCTCCAAGAAGCTGACCATCAACAAAACACATCACACTGGATGGATATTCCCATATTTCACCTCTCAGTTCCTGCGATCAGAAAACAAATGGCAATATTAAGGACTGATACACATATCATAGAAAATCACTAAACATTTTACGTTGATGATAAAATCAAGAATAGATCTGAAAAGATAATGATGAGTTTCTGCTAAAAGATTCAAGCTTGAAAACATTACATAAGTCGATCAGGGTTATCCATTTATTCTTGAATTTCTAACCCGTCTTTCTGTTTCTTCAACTGTAGATTCACTGGTTATATTCATGCATCAAAGTAAGCCATAAATTGTTCTTTCTGGATCATTTTATTGTGGAATTCCAGCTTACAACAAAGCACAGAATAAGGCATTTGTCAAATGTGGCTTATTAGACAAATCATAATTTAGTATAATATGCTATACTGTTAGAGCTCAAACAAACTGTTTTCCCTTAATTTAGGCTAATTTGTCTTGATTTGGAAATAGAAGTCATACAATCAGAAATTAGCCAACTATACTTTATCATGTGGTACAAACCAATCAGTGTAATTACTTTGCAGTTCAGTGGGGTGTGCTAACTCTGAAACTGGAATAATAAAACTAGTTATCTATAGATAAGCATATTGCAAAAATATAGCCAGAAATTAAAATATACCTTCTTTTTTTCTTGTAGATATTCATCCCATGCAAACTGCAATAAAGGAAGTACTTTAGGCTCAGCTATCTTCTTGGGGAAATTTCTCCTAAGGGTCTAAATATGCAAGAGAAAAGTTTTAAAGACTATGTTTTATATTTTATAATGGTGCTCCTAAAATACACATAACCATTATTATCATATAGCAGTTCATATAAGTTACTTAAGTGGTAATCTTTTGGGATCACCTATAAGAGAGGAATTTATACAACTTTACTTCCATGTCATATGTCATGCAAGAGTTTTATCTTGTTAATGATAAGATGTCAATTTATTTATATAAATAAATTGCATTTATTATACAAGAGTAAAATGGCTAAACAGTTTAAGCAATAGAGTAGTAGCAGTGAGATGAGACTTACAAATCAGTAAATTTATGTTTTTCATCAAGCATCAGTTCAACTGAATAGTCCTTAGTTAGCTTCCACCTCTCTCTACAATATACGGTATTTCATTGTATTTCACAATCTAGGAAGTATGTGCAATGAACTGACAGATATTTATGATGTAGCATCAGAACTAAGTATCTGAATTAAGGTCAATATCCTTTCACAGAAAAATCTACTCTAAGGAGATTTTGATACATGTCAAATTTTAGTTACCCCTCCCGCCACTTTGGATTAGCCATTTTGTTCATAGTAGCTCTCCTCCATCCTTACTTCCTTTTCTCTGTAGCCCTCCCAACTCTTTAAAGGAGATGAGAGGTTGCAGGATAGGTGCCTCCTCCACAGTCAATGAAGAAGGCATTCCATCAGTGAGTTTAATTGGTTAACATCTTTTTAGTCTACCCATCTAATTAATTTTTGGTTTTTCGTAATAATGTGTGAGTTGACATTGGATACTAAGAATAATAATAAATATTCTTAGTAGAGCACTTTTCTTGCAGACATAATTCCCTCCTAGAGTGACATTCTCCATATCTCTACATCTGCAAAGATTTTCAGCAATTGAACTAAACATTTGAAAAAAGTCAACTTGGGGGAGGTTTTTCTCCACCAGATTTATTTCTGTCATTTATTAAGTGAAGAAAAATTGTTTTATTTTATACTTATTTATTTTATAAGTTAATTAGCTGCTACAGAAGGCAGGAGAAACATAGGAACGGACAGTTTGTCAGAGGCATTATTTTTTTAGTTACAAAACTCTACCTTATAATTCATACTGACAGCACAGAACATAAAAACATATGGCTCAAAAAACATATAACCAGAAAGATCTAGTCCAACCTTCTTAAGGCAGGATACCTTATACTATCCCAGTCAAATGGTTCTCCAGTCTATTTTGGAAAACCTCCAGTGATGGTGCACCTACAACTCTAAGAAGCAAGCTATTCCATTGATCAATCTTTCTCACTGTCCAGAAATTTTTCCTTACTTCTAGGTTGGATCTCACTTTAACTAGCTTTCCACTCATTACTTCTTATAACACATTTAAATCTTGAGCTCAACCGACCATTCTGTTCTGGAAAAATCTACCGTTCGTTGAGCCTTTGCAATACCACGTTTGCGGTCTGAAGAACTCAGGGACAACGTTATTAACAAAAAGAGCAACAAGGAAAAGAGAAGTCATTCCCAAAGATGTGAGCAGTGAATCTGCAAGAAGGACCTGGGTCCAGGGAATTACCTCCACTGCGTGTGCTGCCATGTGAAAGGAAGGTTCGGTGAGCAGGCCCACCACCTCCACTTCTTGAAGCTTTATGGACTGAACACATGGGCTTTTCGACCACATTGCCCACAGTTTTCCTCTCTCTTCTCTTTGCTTTTCAGCTGCTCCACTTCTTCTCAAGCAGCAGCCGAAGAAAAATCAACACGTCTCCTCACCATAGCAACTCCAATCAGGTGCTACCGTTCTCTCCAGCTGGGAGTTCTGCCAGCCAGCAGTTGAGTTTCAGCAAACTTTCCCTTTATCTACTGCAACATGAAACCCAAAAGGTCAGTTTGGAGGGACGTTTAAATCTGATAACTGTTATTATAAACCCAGAATGTTGATTTTTCCAATGAAACATTGTAATGAGATAGTGATGTGTTGATTCACTGAACATGCTGAGCTGAGATACCCACTAAGAAACCAACATACTTCTTATACTTTTCTTGCCTGTACATTTGTGTTTTTTGAGGGAATTATTTAAATAGTACAGATTGATTAGTGGTGCCTTGTAGAATTAATGTACACAGATGATAACATCTGATTAAAATCTCAATAATAACAAAGTGTTTTTGGATTGGTGGTGGGCTTTGCTAAAGGCCAATTTCTTTGTTCTCTGATTAATAAAGTTAAACAGATTAATTCTTGCTGGATTAAATAAATTCTGCTGATAGAAACAGCACGTAAGATAATGTCACATGTATAAGAACAGAGCTTAAAGTTAATCATTGAGAAAACACAATAAATTTAGTATGTATATAAGTAATTGTTATATACCCAGATCAATCATTGACTGCATGTGGTAACAAAATGACGCATTGCTTTATGAGTTTATTCTGACCTGAAAAGCAGTCCTTACTATCTGGGATAATGAAATACTAGAATACAGACCCAGTAACACTTTTTCATAGCTCCAGCAGTTAAGTAAGGAAGTAGTATTTGGAAAGACTCCATCTCTCCAGTGTAGCATAAACAAGATCAAAATACCATATATACTCACAGATAAGCTGAATCACATTTTTCATGGTATTTTTGGAGGTCTGCTTATCTACGTATATTAACGTATATGCTTACAGATAAGCCAAACCTAATTTTTAAGGTGCATTGGTGGTGCCTCAAATTCTGGTAACAACTGAGCCCAAAATTTATGTTGCTGAGTGAGACATTTGTTAAGCGAGTTTTGCCCCATTTTACACACTTTCTTACCACAGTTGCTAAGTGATTCACTGCAGTTGAATAACAGTTGTTAAGTGAAACTAACTTCCCTATTGACCTTGCTTGTCAGAAGGTCGCAAACGATCATGACCCCAGGACACTGCAGTGAGTCAGTTGCCAAGCACCTGGATTTTGATCATGTGACATGAGAATGCTGCAATAGTCATAAATGTGAAAAATGGTTACTGTTTTTAGTGCCATTGTAACTTTGGTCACTAAATGAATTGTTGTAAACCAAGGACTACCTGTACAGTAATGAGACTGGAATATTTTCCAGTGTAGACTGACAACTGTTTGCCATTTATACCCACTTCTATTGCAGCTTCTCAGATACTATCACCCTATGATCTAGAAATATGCTTGGCTCGCAGAGGGTTGTTCTGCAGACTGTTTCAAGATTTGTCCCTTTTTTCTTCTTGTTATTCTCATTCATTCGAGACTGTATAGAGAAGATCTCACCACCAGGTAAGGAATATCTAGCATGGGGGTCTTAATGAAATTGTGTAGAAGCTTTTCTGTTTTCTCATTTGTTTTACCTAAGCATTTTCAATTCCTTAGGGATCCTAATGACAGCCATTTTGTTCCTGAGAAATTTGCAGACACCAGATGATGTTGACAGCCAGATACATTTTAAGGGAGAAATTGATAACGTGGGAAACAGAGGTAAATATTTCAATGGTTGTTGTGCAATACTGAAAAGATACAGAAATGTACTGTATTCCCATGTAAAACAGGATATCCTATATATAATGTTTACAATTCAGGAAATCAGTTTTGTTTTTATTGATAGTTAGAGGGAACTCCCAAAAGCCAAACTGGTTCCTACAGTAAGGAATGGGGAGGCAAACCCTAATTTACATTTATTGATAACTGCTCAGCCAACATTTGACATTCAGGTTAATGGAGGCGTAGTTTGGAAACACATAGGCAGGGCAATTATTCAATCACTCTTTTTCTACTAGTTAATGCTTTTCTTCAAAAAATAAACAAAAGGTAGAAGCTGGAAACTAAGCCGAGAAGAGAAATATGGTTCATTCTTCCCAGCAGCCTCAAATAATTGACTGAAATGCAAAAGGATCTGAAAATGAAATGCAGGAATAATTGAAATTGAAATAGAAACATGTTTCAGGAAGTCACCTTGTGGTATGGTGAGAGCCTTATATTTAAATGTGCCTACCTTTACCCCAGAAAAATAAGGGTGCTGGGAATGATTTGGGAAGGCTACAGGAAGTCCCAAAAAGCATCCTCAAAAATTTGTCATTGTTAATAGGGTATTTGTGACAGGTCATATCCATCGTGGCTGCTATTCTGTGACAGCATTTAAATATAATCTCAAATTATCATTTGGGCACATGGGGAAACAGTTGAAATATATTTTTATATTTGCACATATGATTATTGCAATTATATTTGTGTGTGTGTGTGTACATATACATACACATACATATACACACACAAACACACATATATAAACAATTGCATATGTACTTTGCTGTTATTTATACCGCAGAAGCATAGGTTTGACCTGTAAGGAATACATTTCTGACAAAAGAAAAAGTTTGTAACACACAGATAAACCGTGGAAGAAAATTTTTCCCCAGAAGGATTAATGTATACATTGTGTTTATTTTAAAAGCACTATAGCCTTATCTTACATAAAGAAGCATTATATTTTAAACGTTTAGCTGAGGGCACAATTTAATCATTTAGAGCAGAATTATTTTTAATTATTATACATCTTTTGTTGTTTTTTTCCCTCCTGATATATTTTTTCCATATGCAAACCTTCATAGTTAATTATCTTCACTAGATCATTCAATTGGTCTTAAGACACTGACCTTTTTAAAACAACAGATTTATAAAAACCTCAATCAACTTAACCGAGGGAAGAATGGGTACTCTCTCTCCCATGTACAAACTCTTAGCACCTTTGTTTCATCCTGTTCTGCATTACAGATGCTGAAGTAATCTGTAAGGTTTCATTGCCAACAAGTGTTCATTGATTACAATGAAGCTTTCCAATATTCAGTAGAATCCATATTGTAGTTTATGCAGTATGAGGAAAGGAAGAATAGAAGGGTTAGCGCACATCTGAGTAGGGATGTCCATCACGCTGCAATTCCTTAAAGAGAAAGTTTGTTCTCTCTTCCTATTCCTAGACTACTTCAGGGCTAATGATTTTGGTCAATGGTTTATCGGCTCAAGCATAAAGCCTTTATATTCTATCTGTCAGTTTGATTCTAGCTTAAAAACTAGAACTACAAATGTTCTTGTAGCTATAATGGGAAACAATCATTTTTTAAATTTTTATTATAGGAATGCATATATACGGCTTATTCACCAGAATATAAAAAGTACAGAGAAAGGAGAAATCACAATGCCCATGTTTGTTCTGATAAGCCAATACCAGAATTGATTTGTGTCAGTTAAGTCTGGGGAAGTCAAGCATTGAGCTGATGTGCATAAATTAAAAAAAAAAAGCTAACGGAAACATAACCAAAACAAGGCAATAGTTTGTTAAGCCTGTTATCATTATTTAGGAGAGCCTATGCTCATCTGTTTGGAGATGTAACTTTTATTTTTTTCTATCTTTTGAAATTATAAATTTACTTTTGCAAAAAGTTGCAAAAGTTCAAGTCTTGGTTTACCTATGCTTGTAGAAATGGTCTAATAAAACTGACTCGCACAAAGTCTTAACTGACACAAAGAGACTGATCCATTTTTTAAAAAATCCAAACATCAGCTTGGTTTCATCCAAACTATACAATCAGTTGATAGGCTTATTAAATATATACAATATAAGTCCATTCAGAGGCAATTTTACATCCCATCATTTTCAGTGGAAAAATTAAGCATGCATTGTTCTTTCTCACTGAAATAAATGAGATGGCAGGCTTGTACCATGTTCTTTTAATATTTTATTGCAGTTCAGGCAAAATGCATGAGTACACTGGTTTAAAAGCCATGCTTTCAACATATATTTAAATTGATAAATCTGCAAAATAAAAATGCATAAACCAATTGCCGTTAAGCCAACAATCAATGTTACCAGCATGTGAAATTAAATACTGTGTATAGAATGCATTTCACATGAAGGATCTTCTTTCATCTTGATAAATAAATATATCTAAGAAGGAAATCAGTCTGTATTTTAAAAAGCCTGCCCTTCGGTGTGATGGTCTCCAGATGGCTGGTCTACAGTTAGAGGCTGTTACGCTGAATTGGAGATATGTACAGTTTGGGTCTGTCCCTTGCTAATTTGAGGAGGTAGAATTGTATCTTGGCTAATGCGAAACTGTTGGCTAGGCTCTTGGCCCATCTGCAGATGCGAGGTTGGATGTGGTGTTCCAGCAGCTATTTGAAGCACATCTGCTTGATTCTGATTGGCATGGAGATGTTCCAGAGCTTCTTTGGACAGCGTGATGACATGCATTTGTTCAGTCTGGGGAGAATCCATTGGGTCACTCACAATGCTGATATTCTGAATCTGGTCTGTGGGTTCTGTTTGGCCTGAAAGCAGCAGGTTCTGCAGCTGCTGTGATGGCTGAGTGAGAAGAGTAAGGCTGCCTGTGTGCTCTGTCATCACATTTTGGGAATCATCTGAAGTGACAACGCTAATGCCTTGATTATGGCTGGGCACAAAGTTTATGTTGTGCACGGAATCTGTCACCAACAGCTGGATCTCCTGGGGTTCAGAGGTAGAGAGTTGATACTGCTGCAGCTGAAGAATGTTCCTGACATCCTCTGTGCTGCTGCTGTTGGATGCATTGTTGGCTTCCTGTAGCTGTTTCTCTTTGATATGGATTTTCAAATGAGATTTCAAATTGTCTAAACGTGCAAACTGCACACAACACTCTGAACAAGAGAAAGGTTTTTTGCCGGTGTGCAAGATACAATGTCTCCTTTTGGCACTGGAATCGGAAAAGGATTTTCCACAAATACTACACGAATATGGCTTTTCTCCTCTGAAAGAAAAGACATCTGGTTTGATCACATATGTCCATATTTTGCGAAGCATGGATGTTATTAAAAATCCAAAGCATTACTCAAATATCACATCATTA